CGGGCTTGCGAGCCGGTTTTTCTTCGTACCACGAGATCCCACTTGCTACGATTGAGAAAAGTAGCTACGATGCCACATCCATCACTGTGAATATAAGCACCGGCAGATAAATCACAGACGGTCAAGAACAACCCTACAGCACACGAAGAAACTATACGGAAGTCAGATCAGAGTCACTGGAGCAACTTGTTGAAGTTGCGGCTTCTATAATCGGGAATTAACGTGGGCAATGAGGGCAGGCAGCCATCAAAATTTATTTATCAAAAGCAAAAACTGTCACAAAGGTAACACTAATAAAACGTATCATATGCCAGTTGCACAGATTAAGTATTTAAACAGCTTAAATTCGAAAAAGAACGAACAAAATATTCTAGAAACGGATTAATTCATTCGAAAAAAATTCTCACTGCAACAAAAACAATTCAGATCAAAATTTCTAAAATAAATTGAAAAACTACATTATGACCTCCACTTCCGAGGCTCCAAAGCATCACCACGGCTTCAGCCAGTCGTGTCTCTCTAAGCAGAAACACTGAGTACAAACAGGATTATCAAAACCAACCAGAAACAAAAGAAACACCACTATCTTAACTATTTAACCTCTAGATAAAAACCATATTATTTCTGAAGAATAAAGCTCAGACTTTGTTGGTAGTTTTTGGATCCACTTTTGACTTTTCAACTCCTTTGGCATTGGCCTTAACAGCAGTTGGTTTCTCTGATGACGGTTTAGACTTCTCCGATGCCTTCCGTTTTTCTGTGGCATTCACATCCTGGGCTTGATTTTCATGTAGTGGAGATCGAAGTTTCGCGGATGGCTCATGATGTGCAGGTGCCTCGCTCTGTGGGCCCTCGAAAGGCGCTGGCAACTTTACCAGTGTCGGCTCGACGCCCCATATTTTTTCAGCGTACTCCCTGATTGTCCGATCACTGCTGAATTTTCCAGAACTAGCGATGTTGTTCACCGTCATCTCAACCCATTTGGCAACATCCTAAATTAACTGATCTTAGTGATCTTAAGAGTAAAACCTATGATAAAAAAGGAAATCTTTTCGAAACTACTGATCAAGAAAGATACATCAGAGTTGAATTTTATGTAATCGATAAATTTTATTTTTTTATCAGTCTTAAGAAATCGATTTTATCGAACTAGTCTTAAACATTTGCATGTGTCTAAAATAAGTGCAGACTATGAGACCGAATCTGAACTGCAAAATTACGTCTACACTGACTTCGAGCTGTTATCAATGATAACTCTGCAGTAGCCAACCGAGAATTAATGGCTGCAGATCATGAATTATTTCTTACCATAAATGTTTGATTGACGTCTTCCTGGGCCTTAATATACGATTCATAGTCAGCACATAGGAAGAACCTAACAAATCACTAATTAATAAACTCAAAAGCACCGAACAAAATAGACCTGTCGTGATGTTTCAACACATTCGCAATATCCTTGAACAAATCAGGACGAGCAGGGAAGAAAAATCCCGTCTCAATCTGCTCAATGCACTGTTTGAGCTCTGCGTTTCTGTTGATGTAATCAAGTGAATTGTAGCTAAAAACGACACGTAGATAAAAGGCATCTATTAACAAACAGAGATACCCTTTGGATTGCAATGCCTCTACTTCATCTACGGTCATACCAAAAATGAATATGTTTTCGCGACCCATTTCTTCCATCATTTCGACGTTAGCGCCATCAAGAGTGCCGATAGTGAGAGCGCCGTTAAGCTAAAAGATACATTTAATTATGAAGAATAAGAAACTTAATTACAGAAACTATACGAAGTACCAGATACATATAAACCAATTGCAATAAAAAAGAATGCATGGAAAATTGACGTTTCAACAAAATATCATGAACTTGCATAAGCGCTTCTCCTTTCAGGCCAACGAAGCAGAGGCGTCAGATAGCGCTTCCAACGTTCCTGATCTTGTGCCAGAGTCTGAGCACCTGCACAAGACAAATGGAGTCTGGAACAGACTCTTTCCATATATTTCTACTAGTTAATCTTAGCCATCCCTTAGGCCTTCTGCCTGTTAGCAGGGCAAGAAACAGTCGTTTCGCCTTCCTTTCTGGAAGCATACACAACACATGCCTAAACCATTGCAACTGTGACTTCTTAATCTGAACCAGCGGCTGTACACCAAGGCTCTCGCGAATGTCTGGATTCCGGATCACGTAGAGAGGCGTATGACTGGTCTCAGAAAGCCCATTTTAGCCGCTTGTACCCGGGATCGGAATGGTCCACGACTCATGACTGTATCAACAAAATATATTTAAAATTCTTGCCATTCTTGTTGTGCATTAAGTTATGTTCCTTGACTCAAAATTAAGACTAACAATGTACCAGATTTCGAAAGTTACATAGTCGTCAACAAACTCCTAACCAACAAAGACCGTTATAAAACAATGGATTACGATTTTCAGGTTCATTTTACTAGTTAATAAATCTTAAAATGCTATAGCGTACCTGAACACATCGTTTCCATGCATGCAGGAAGAATATTTGCTGTCAAGGTCAAATGGCAGCTCCTTTAGTGGTTCCCCACTAACCGTTGAGTTCGCCAGGGAGATGCACTTTTGCTATTGCTATTCAGCGCCGTTATCACCTTTCCTTCTGAAACAATGATGACCCCGGAAAGGTCTTATTTTAAAGGGAAGGCACAGTTCAAGATATCTGAATAGATATCCTACTGAGGTGGGGTTCGTCGATGCTACGTCACAGTAGTACGAAGATTAGATTCTGTTCACTTGACGGCCTACGTATTCTCGACACAGCTGCGAAAACCGGCATATCTTTCTTAGTGCCAGAAAGTCAAAAGTTATGATGAGGGAAACTGATGTAAAAGTGGATCAGGGAGGTGAAGTGCTTCAGATAGTTGTCCAATTAGGTAACTCGGCTCCATTATCTCCACAGATAGCACCATTTGGTTATGGTTAAAGTGGAGGATCACCCTAGTTTTCAGTGCTTTTGGAAACCTGTTTGAGCTGAGAAAGTAGTAACTCCTTCCATAAAAAGCAACCTGTGGCTTGCCTCGGTCTGTTCAGCGTGTTGTACGACATGAAAGTAATTGTTTTAACGAAGGAGCATGAAAGACGGTCCAACTGTGTACAGCATCATTATGGCTTCGTCGCACAATGCGTCGATAAATAGCAGAACCACGTTAGGAAATGACTCCATACTCTAATGGATATGGATGAACTCACTAGAGGTTAAAATTAAGGAAAGACGGTTAGTCCGCTAAGCAAAATTCTGATTTACTCCAACCCACGAAATTCTCGTGTGGCAACTGAAACACGGCTGACGTCGACCAGGAGGCAAGCATGCAACACGGCGAGAAAAGTTTGAGGCAGCGGCTTTCAGAGAAAGAATATTTCCATTTACAATTCAGTTACTAGTGCCTCATAGCAAAAGTGGTAAAATGCAGCAAACACAGAGGACACTACAACTTAGAGACGTTCTGTCAATGTAAACTATGCAAGATGATGACCTCCGTAAGCAAACGGAACAACAATTTAAACTCACCATGAATTTCATGTTTCCAGTTCCAGAAGCCTCGGTTCCTGCAGTAGATATTTGTTCGCTCAGATCTGCAGCAGGAATAATCTTTTCAGCCAAAGTAACGCGGTAATTTTCCAAGAAGACCAACTTCAATTTATCTTCGACAATGGGGTCATGGTTGACAACATCTGCAACGCAGTTGACCAACTTAATTATCTGCTTAGCCATGTGGTAACCTGGAGCAGCCTATGATCAAACCCAATGAGATGTGCAACATTGATGACAAACGATATAAATGCCTACTTTTCCACCAATCATTACTGTTCTGGGCACGAATGGAGCACTAGGATCTTTCTTTATGCGATTGTACATAGTAATGACGTGTAGAAGATTAAGCAGCTGTCGTTTATATTCGTGAATTCGCTTTACCTTAATCAGAACAACAGGTTTTTCAATTCAGAAGCGAAGCTAAGGTGGACATACTTGGATGTCAAACAAACTTGATGGGTTAATCTCTATTTTGTACGTTTCCGCCAGCCACTGGGCAAGTCGAAATTTGTTTTCCTAAACAGTTAACAAATAAAACAGGTTAAATCCTTTAAACATGATGATAAACAGGTTAAATCCTTTAAACAAAATGCAGCTAAGCATGATTTATTTAGCAAAACAAAAGGTTCATCAGATGATAAACGTCCAACCACAATTCTCACTAGTATCAAAAGCTGCTACCTTTTATCCACGAAAAGATCAACAGCTGCAGGCAGAAAAACAACCGCAGCAACAGTTACATCTGGTCTATCCTGTATGTCAGGGTAACGATCGTCACACTCTCTCTCACACAGTCATACACCAATCATCGAAAAAGAGGCATCTTTCATCAGTATCATAATTAGTTCGTAGGTATGGGCCAGCTTGATCAAAGACGAACAAATGAGCCACTACTTCAATGATTTCCAATATCACTTTGCAGCCTAACGGAGAAATTACCGTTTAATGGGTTGAAAGCCTGCAACACACCAGGCCGCATTTGGTGCTGTTCAGCAGATTTACTTCCTCGAGCAACGTAATCTACTGACCGCGTGAAATCAGCACTAACGTGGTACGCACCAAGGAAATACATTCCGCCCAAATGATTCTTCATGTTGCCGTTCACATGATATAAACACCCATGAAGTTGAACATCCGGGAATGCCTTCTTCATTGCACACATCATCAGCGCAATTTCGAATTCACAAGAAATCGAACTTGGATGAAATTCCGGTACAGCTGCAAATACCACCTGAAAGAACGTGTTGCTGTCTGCCATAGCGTA